GGAAATATTTGGACCTGCTATTATCAAAAAAACTAAAGTAAGGACGGTAAAAATTTTAAAATTTTAATATTCAAATGCGAATATCTCCTAAACTATAAGAGATAATTTACTGCTACGACGACATTTTTTATAGTGCTCGATGAGGAGATTCTATATACGAAATTTTTTTTAAATCGGAATGATCGGAAATGAAGAAATAGGATCGTTTTAAAAATTTAACATAGCCGAGGTGTCCTAATTTGAGGACCCCCCGCCGGGCCCCTGGTTGGCCTATAAGGTCCAAATTCAAAACCTAAACTCGACAACACCTCCTCTTTGTGCATACCAAATTTCATTAAAATCGGATTAACCGTTTAGAAGTTACCGAATTATTTCCCTCTTTTTTTTTCCTATACCACTGTGCGACTGTTATACTATTTTTAAATTTAAAAAATAATTAAAAATTACTTTTTTAAATTAAAGTTTATTGTTATGTACATAAATGGTTGATCCAAGATTATCCAGAGTGTTTAATAGAAATTTAGTTTATTGTTTTTAAATATTCTCCCGATGCCTGCCAATTCATAGTGAATTCCTAACTTTAAATATCTGCCTTTTTACCCATGATTAAATCCTATATGTACTCGTACTTGTTTATATTTATATAAATATAAGCATACATACATATGTATATAAGTTTGTGTGTCCATTTGAGATGATGGCTTTTGTATCTTAATTTTTATAATTTTTCTGTATTATTTTCTTGTTTTCATTTCAGTTTTATTTTTTATTCTGTTTCCTTTTCGTCATAAAACCGGCAATTAGTGTCGAAAATGTATTATAGTCGGTAACTTATAAATTGTACATTGTATTTATGGATGTAGTTCATTGTTCATGGTAATGGGAAATAATTAACGTGTAGTAAATTTAATATTTTTATTAAAAATTTTTAAACAAAACTTCTCAAGTAACTTAAAGGAAAAAATGTTAATTGTGAGATCAGAAACAGCAAAACTTTTTTCTGTCTTGTTTTTAGGGAACACAATTTTTGGAGGTTTTTTAATGCAATTATTTTCTTTAATATTTATGAGAACTTTTTTAGTTTTTGTTGTTTTTTTCATGTATTTAAGACGACCATAAATCTAAATCGTTTAAAATTGAAAATATGAGATTTTAAATGATCAATTTACAGTCATAGTTTTGTGTTTTTGTTTATTTCTGTGTGTGTTTTTAGTTTATTAATAAAACTTTACAATAAAGTCATAAATCTTTTATTAAATATTTATTATGATGTTGTTTCATATTTTAAGCCCCTCTATCATAAAATTATAGTTCTTTTTATGAACAAGTTACATTGGAGGTCTTCTTTTATTGTTATTTTTTTATATTTTTGGTGGTAGTATTTAGTTGTAAAATGTGTGTTAAGTGTTTGCTGAAATTTCAAAACCATGTAATTATTTTAATATTAATATTTTAATAATTTATATTTTCTCATTCAAGCTTAGAGCGAAACTTGAGGCTATAAAATATTGCGTGAGAAAATTTTTTTTGGTAAATTTTATTGCTATTTTCATTTAAGATTCCCAAGATTAAAAAAACTAATAATTTGATAAACAAATAAAAATGATAATAATAATACAAAACATATATGATCGATTGTATTTTAAGATTATAGTTTAGAAGTGTTTACTCTAGTTTTTTGAAAATATTAATCATTTCAATGGTATATTTCAAAGATCAAATTTGACCAAAGGTGGGATTTTTTGTGGTTTAAACTAATTCATGGCCTTAGACTTATTTAAGCTTGGAATAATCCATCTTATTATCATAATCGTAATCCCAATTTAATAAAACAACTTGTTTTTTACGATGATTTGTATTAGGGGGATTAAACGATATTAAGAATTTCTAGTGAAAACGACTAAGTATTAAAGCAGGAATTGCGTAATAGATATTCAAAGTGATGTCAAAACATAAAACGAAACGAAAATGTTGATTGCATTGTTTTGTTTTCATTCTAAGAGTAGGATTTTTATGATATCTTAACAGATGTCTCTGATGTATCGTTATACTTGTACGATTTTCCTACTTTTCTCTAGATCTTTTTTTTTTTTTAATTTACCATACTGTATTTAAGTTTAATCAATTTTAAATTTGAACTGGTAATGGCCCACCAAGTCCTTGGATATGTTAGTTATTAATGGTATTTACTAAAACCAATAACCTGCTATTACAAACATATACTTACATGAACGTTTTAATAACTTTATTTATAATTTCAATTTATTTTTTAATTACTGGTCTTATATCTAGAAATTTTAACTACTGTGTTTGATTTTTGTTACCCAATAGAAGGGAATTCTCTCACATGTTAATGTCTAAAGGACATTGCATATTCAATAATTCCCATTCATTCCACTTTTCCTTAAATGTTTTTTAATTATATGTTACATTATTCTTGTATTAAAAAACATTTTAATATCCTAGAAAATCGTTGGAAGATTTAAAACAATACCCTGTTTAATTTTTCATTATTTGGGACACACTCTAAAAATTCTATTTAATTAAGTCATTATAATTAGTTTCCATACTGTGTAATAGATTTATAATAAAAGTGTTTAATAGAAATTAGTTTTCATGTCTGTCGGTTTGTGATATTTAAAAAAAAAAGGTTTTGTAAAGTATTTAACGTCATAATTTCCGTTTAATTACTCTATTTCAATTAATAAATTATTAATTTTATTTCAGAATATTTAAAGTGAACATGTGTTAAATGGGAAAGATTTCTATATATGTATGTACGTAATTAACAAATATTCTATTGGTCTCCTTTAGACATACAATCTTGTTTTCTTCTACTGACAGTTGACAAACACATGTCAAAACGCCATTACAAAATATTCACGTTTTTTATGTATATATTTTTGATGTCTTCTTTTCAGTGGAACTGTCATAAATTACTGTTAAATAAAATGCCTCAAACCCAATGAGCCATAACTGCCATTAAAGAATTGTAAGCAATTAATTTTTATTTCTTTCGAACAAAAAGGGTTGAAACATCTTTCCATTAATTAATTACTTTATCAACTCAATTGATATGACGGAGGTTAAAAGTATTTGGTCTTGTACTGCTAGACTTATAACCCCTTTTTTAGTTAAAGTAATAGTTTTGAGGAAAGGAAAAAGCCATAAAACGTCTATTCTATTGATTGTTAAAGCATCAGATGTGTTAATTTTTAATATCGAGTATAATTATTTTGTTGTTAAATAACTAATTTTGTAAGGCTGAGTAGCGTCCAGCGAAGTCCTTGCCTCTTAATAAAAATTTTGGAAAATATGAATTATTTCATCCACTGAATACGGTTTTCTCAATACGGTGTATTATGTAGTACTTTTTTCAGCAATATTTAAAGTTTAAAATAAACTAGTTTTTAAAACTTTAAAAAATATATTTCTAATCATTAATGCAATTATAGAAAAATATAGAGTATAAATTCTATTTTTAGCAAATTATTTGTTAATTTATTAGGATACCATTTTACGTTCATATAACCAATAAATAAAATGAAATAATTGCCTCACTTGGACCCCAAAAACCAAAGTTCTAAAACTTAAATTTTTATCGGTGTTTTGTTCGATGTAGAATTTAATTCTTTGTAGTTTTCAATACAACTAAAAACCGAATTAGTTCCAAGTTCTAGCCTATACTCGTTCTAATTTAACATTGAGACCAATGGTTCTGAGGAAGCGTTTTGTATATAAGAAAAAATAAAAAAAATTTGTAAATATCTTATCCATCATAAATCCATAAAAATTAAGTTTATTTTCTCCTTTTTATACCCTACACCAGTTTAGTGGGGAGGATATATTGGGTTTGTGCAAATGTTTGTAATGCACAATAATATTGGTCCTATACCCACCTTAAAGTATAGCAATCGGCTTAGAATCATTTTTTGTGTCGATTTAGCTATGTAAGTCCGTCCATGTAAACCTTGTAATCAAACTACAGGTCGCAATTTTGAAGATAATTCAATGAAATTTGGCACATGATCTTCTGTGGACCGGAGACGAAGCCTATTGAAAATGGTTAACATCGGTCCATTATTTCACCTAGCCCCCATACAACAGAACCCGCCGAAAAGGGCTTTTAAGTTCATAATTATGTTTAATATACTTCTATTTCGACAAAAAGCTGAAAAACCAAGTTTATACTAGCCTTGATAACCCTCATGAATTTTATAATTATAGGGCCTCATTTGACCTAGCCCCTATACAAAGCCACCTTCAAAATTTGACTTAAATATCCACAATTTTATTCAAAAATAAATGGCTTATGTATATCTGCACAAGGTACAATTCAACTTAAATGCTTTATTATGAAAACTAAATCACATTTTATTTTTGTAACAGGTGTAGGGTATTATATGGTCGGCCTCGCCTGACTATAATTTCTTACTTGTTTAAGGTTTATTTGTGTTAATAAAAAACTTTAAATGACCATCTAAAATCGCTTTAATGTTAACAATGACAAAAAAAATATATAAGAAATTTGTGATCACTTCTATTTCTTATTAATCATTTCAATCATCGTTTTAAAATTACAAATTTCACTGGACTTTTTATATTGTAAACCTCTTATATCAATTACCAATTACTAAAACTAAATGAGAATTCTAAAAAAAAATTGTTTGTTTTAGATACTTTTTTATAATTTTATTCATCACTTGAAGCTAAAATTACTAAATAATATTTTTATAATTATTATCATTGTTTATATTTATTATATTATTTAAACATAAATAAATCTTAAATATTTATTTTATTATTGTTACAAAACATAAATATTTCTTAAATACAATAAAAACTGTGTTAATACAATTTATTAACAAAACTTTTATTGTATCTACATATTTAATTGTGAATATTAGTTTTTCTGTTACATGTAACTTAAAGTTGCTGGATTTTAAACATTTATTTATTTAGTTAACTAAAAATTTAATTTTGCCATTATTATTATTATTGTTGTTTTACATTAGGAACAATCTATAATTTACATTCATTCATTCCAGTTACAATTTCAATTACAAATATAAATAAAAAATTCAATAATATAAAAAATATTCAAATTAGACGAAAAAGCAAAGATAAAAAGCAAATTAACAATTTTTACACTTTTTTGTTTTGGTTGTAAACTAAAGCCAGATTACAGTTAGAATGTTTCGATTAATTTATAATTACGGAATATTTTTTGTTGTATTTACATAATTACTAATTGTTTTTGTTTTAAATTATTTGATTTTGTTTTTTACATCACAAACATTTTTTTGTTTTTAACTATTTACTAATACTGTGCTAGTGGGTTTTGTTTATAATAAATAAAATTTGTTTAAATTTTGTTTTGAGAAAAAATATTAAAATAAAATTAAACATTTTTAATACGATTGCACTTATTTCAAGGAAAGGTAAGGAATTATTAAAAGGGGTATTTTATAAATTTATTTGGGAATTCTATCAATTTGTAGGGCTTTGGGAAGGAGGAGGTGGCTGTTGCTGCTGTTGATGTTGTGGTACCGGATAGGGACTAAAGCGGTGAAAATGTTTTGTCCTTAAGTCTGGCGAAGCTGAACCCGATGAAGAGGGAGTTGTTGCCGGTGGTGGGGGTCCCGGAGGTGGTGGTGTCCGTGAAGCCGCGGCAGCTGCTGCTGCAGCATTGGCGGCTGCTTGAGCTGCAGCTGCCTGATGATTGGCCAAGAAACCGGCTGTTAGTTGTGGCCACTGCTGTTGCCACATACCGATATTGAAGGCATTTATAGCTGCTGCCGAAGGTGGTCTTTGATAAAGATGAGGTAATAGCATTTCGGTGTAGGGTGAACGTCCAAACATTTGCAAATGTTGCCGTGCCTTTTCAATGAAAGCCAAGGAGGCAGCATCAGCTTCTTGAGGTGATAGTTGTTGCATCAAGGGATCGGGGAAAAATCTCAAGGGTGAGCGTAAATGTTGTTCGAAAAGGTAAGAATCCATGGGATCTCTGAAAAGGAAATAATACAGATATTAGCTACACTAAACTCCTTATAAAAATGTTAATTCTTGTGTGCTATGGACAGAAGTTTAGAGTATCTGTCAATTTATATAACTACAGGTTTGACAAGTTTCCACATTCCTTCAAATGGTTAAATAACCATCATCAATTTTTTCCTATTCAAATACAGTAAAGTGTTTGCATTTACAAATTTCATTTTATTTTCATATACTTAGTCTGATATTTAACTATAACAATAGTAATTGCAATGGAAACCCCAAAACAAAAAAAGCATTAACAACAGCAACAATATTATGACCAGAGAACGTTGAAGTTATTTGAACATTTACTCATTATTAACGTGTTTTCATGTACGAATATTATTTCAAAGTTAAACATGCCGACCTATAATTTACTCTACTTAAAACACTACCGCCGCTTTCCAATGCCGACCACCACCACCATCAGCTCATTTTTTGTTGTTAACAATTTTGTGTTGCCTCTTTTAGTTTTTTTGGCATCGAGAGAAATTCATGCAACATTTTAGTATACATTTTTGAGTTCAAGTGTTGGGAAAAGGGTATAGAACTCCTGTTAAATTCTCTAAGATTTTTTGTTTCTTTTTTTATTTGGTTTTACACCTGCATTGGGACTTAATATGAGAGTGAGCGTTCTTACTTAGAACTATGATGTTGCTGCTGCCGATATGTCTGAGTCTGGTGGCAATATTAAAACAAAAATAAATGCAAACATCAGTTTTTGTTGCCTTTTAAAAAATGTTTTTGGGGTGCGTGTTTACATTTTCTTTAGTTTTAATTTGGCAATTTTAAAACAAAGCTTACAGTGGGACGAAGAAAATTTTGTGAATATTTACTATTTTGCAAAATGGAAAAGTTCCTAATACAAAGTAAAATAAAATTTAAAAAATATGTTTATTGATTATAAACTTATGGCTTGACCACTGTGCAAAAATTTCATGTGTACAGATATAACAATTCTTTCAGCTCTTCATTTTGTTTTACAATTTTATTCGTTTAACTTTAAACAGTGGCTTATGAATCAAAGTTGTTGCAGTTGTTGTACTCTTTTGTTGCCATTGAACATTCAACACTTTCGGTAGTCCATTAAAGTAAAAAGCAACACATAATTGTTGCCAATAAAAGAAGCACCGAAAGAAACAGCAACACAAATTATATTTATTACTGTTGAATGAATGATGGTTAAATTGCACCAATACGAACGAGTATTTGCCAAATATTTATTTGCTTAAACCCTTTATTAAAAAATACACAAACAAAAAACACACAAACACCCAGCCATTCATATCGAAGAACAACAACTTTCTTTAATGTTGTTAATCTGTTGCAACAGTCATGTGGCATGCATGCCACAACAATTAAATACAAATTAAGTTGCACAACTAAACTCAAAAAAATTTTCATGATGAAAACATTTTTAGTTGTTTTTTTGTATTTATGATGAGTTGTTTTCTAGCTGATCCTGATATTATTTTCTATTTTTATGGCCTTAACTAAAAACTATATATTCATGTAAAAAACATTTATTTTTTATTCGCTTACCTATCAAAATCAGTCAAACGTGATGAATCACGAAAACCTTTGGCAAACGGATTTGAATCGATTTTCAATTTGGTAATCAATTGATTTTGATATGCCGTTACAGCCGTGAAAACAGTCTCTGGAAATACAAAAGTTTTATGATCCATTTCCTGCAAATCCTTGGGGGTATTTGGTATACTCTGACCATGACACAAGCGCACCAAATGTATACGTGGTTGATAGCGATGCATGGAGTTTAAAACAATCTACAAAATGAACGTTAAAAAAGCGAATATTTTAGAAAAATTTAATAAATAAAGTAAATTATAACTGCTAAAGTTTGATTAGTATTTTCAACATTATGTTGCACTTTATTATGTTACATGTTCTTCCTAACTTTTTAAGAAATAAATTTTAACTGGCAGAGAACTTTGTTACAAAAGAAATTGTTATTTGTTACTATGAATCAAAACATATTTTATTTACGATTTAATTTTCTACTAATGTTCTGCTAATGACCCTAAAATATACTCTTACCTGTCCACTTTTATCCATTTCATTATTGGTCAGCTTAACCTTTTCAAATGAAACCACTTGTTTTCTCAATGCATCCACACTAATGGGACTATCGGGATGGGCGTAAAGTCTTGCTGGAGGTGGTGGATCTGCCTTACCGGCCACCAGCCATGAGCTGCGATGGTATGCATAACGATAACGTCTCGAATCCATGGGTATGATGTCAATTAAAACTGCATAACGATCTGGTGGTTGCATATGCCTTAAAGGTCCTGAAAAACTAACGCGCACCGTTGGAAACATCCGCCTGCAATAGAGTAAAACAACAAAATATGAAATAATTTCACTTGGTTTTGATTTCATGTTCGTTAAGAGGCTTATTAAGGTATTTAGTTACTAATTCCCTTTCTTTTTTGGAGCAAAATAATTACTATTGTAGAAATGTCCTCACGTTTTCATTACATTTTATGGGGTTTTTCACTTCGTCACATTAACATGTTCTTAGAACTTAAAAGTTGGTCATAATTGTAATTACCAAAAATCATGTTAACGCAGTATATTAAATGTAATAGAGTTCCTGGCAGCAATTACAAATTTCCGTCAAGGAATGTGTCCATAGGGCCATAAGTATTTAGTTTAAATTATAGAATATATGAAATGTTCCAAAAATAGGTATTTTCTGTAGTTATTTTGGTAATAGGAATTGTATAAATAGGTTTGTTTATTATTTTTAATATGTTTGTATAAAAAATAGAAATTAAGTGTGAGATTTCTATTAGTAATGTGTATTTCTAACTAAATAGTTTCTCGGTAAGAAACATGCAATGTTCAAATTATGCTGATAATACAATTCTTAACTTAGATTGCAAATTGTAGATATGTATTATAATAAGTTCGAAATAAATTTCAGTTTTCTACAAATAAATACATATTTGCGATACATACTTAAAAGTATATTTAGCTTATGTCTTTATTCATTGACCTCAGCTCTTCCTTTTAAATAATATTTCAAAGTCACTTATCTTTCAACATTAAAAAAAACTCATACTTTCAGGCATATAATTTTTTAATAAATGACAACCAGAATTACATTTTGACTTTTAATCTGATGAAATAGATGTCTTGCAACAAAACCACAGCAAAAAAAAAATTAAAACGAGAAAGAAAACCAACCCCTCCAATTAACTGGACATTGTACCTCAGTTGCAGGCCATTAACAAGTACTAATCATTAGTTCTTTTAACTACAATAATAATTCCACATACATGTTGCAAGTTCTTTTTTTGTTGCAAATAAAAAAATACTAGTTTTTATTTAAAACTAAAAGAGTACAAAAAACAAGAAACCAACAACGATGTAAAAATTGCACTGTAATTGTAACTGATTACCTTGCTAACGTAACAGCAACAAGAACAAAAACAATACAACTAGCCACTCTGGTACAATAGACTACGATGAAAAGTGATGCCAGATGAATATTTAACCCTTACAGAAATCCGTTTTAAGATAATCTACTATGTGGAATTTTACATGCAACATGGCTTCAAATGGTTCTTTGAATGAATCACTCACGACCTTAAAATTAAAAGCATTTAGTGTTTTCGGAAAATTTCGATAGTATTTGTATGTTGGATCTGGTTTAATTTCAAGGCGTAGTCTCTCCATTTCGGATGGTACAAATCATCCAGTTTAAACTAAATGGTTTTATGAAATTTTATTATGTTATTCTTAAGACTGAAGTTTCCCATACTGACCTGAACTAAACCTTAATTCAGTCTATTCTAAAATTTAGGCGTCCGTGTGTCATTAATTTTGTTTCCATAAGTTCCCATTTTAAATCAGACCGTATTTTCGATATCTCGGAAACAAACTTTTGTGCATGGGCAATACAAAATAAACCAAATTAATTTTTTGGGAGCTTATTACTATCAGGTCACTAATTTGTATCATATTTTAGTCATATAGGTGTATATGTTTTTATGAAATCAGGAAAAGAATTATGTATTAATCTGGCCACTTTCATTCGCTATCTTAGTTACTCTGATATTGCAGTTAAATTCTCTCGTAGTTGTTGTTATTTTTTTGTTTTAATTTTAAAGTGAAAATGTCCTGTAATTTTTTGAAATGTTAGTTAGTCACTTACTTAGTTGGCCGGTTGAAATGTGAATGGCACTTTTGTTGCTGTTATTGTTGTACAACAACAATAACAAGTGTGTACAACTAAAACAAAACAGAAAAATATTATATACATATTCGTATAAAATATCCTTTGCCCTGTAATTAAAGCTGCAAAAGCCGCCAAAATGCTGATGATAATGGTGGTAGTAGCAGCAGCTATAGTAGCTAAATGTTAACGTAATTACAATTGCAGTGTTAAGCGACAAGCGCCAGAGAGCAATGTTGTATATTAGAATTTACAAAACGGATGTTGAAAAACTAAGAGAGAAATTTGTATAGAAAACTTTGACAATAAAAAGTGGATTATTAGAATGATAAAAGAGATCATAATTCTATGGCAACACCAGTAATAAGAACAAGAAAATATTTTGATACTTTTTTGTGAAAGTCGCCGTCATCGCTGTAATTGTAAATTTGGGTTTTGTGCATTTTGTGTGCTTTTTTTACTGCAAATTTATAATGAGTTTCAGTCAGAGTCTTTTGTCACATGCAATTCGCTAAAGCATTGCGTTTCGATATCAATCTATGTCAACACTTCGTTTGCCATGTTATGTTTTTGTGTTGTAGCTGCATTTAATTTAATGTTTTTTTTTTTTTTTTTTTGTTTCTCTCTTCATCATTAACAACAATTGCAGTATTGCTTTGTATATTTTTTTGTTGCATTTGAACAAAAAATCATACTGCAGTTGTATTTAATATTCTTTTTTTTGTTATTTCTATTTGTTTTATTTCTGTTTCTGTTAATGATTTTGATTATGCCATTTTATTTGTTTTTTTTTTAATTATTAATTTTTATTATTATGTCGCCAGTATTACGTTTGAATTAAGTGAAAATTGTACTTAACAAAAAAATAAAAAAAAAAACAGCAACATTTCATTAATTAGGAATATTATACTGCGCCACAATAAATATTTTTCATATCTTTTTTATATACCTATAGAACATGCATTTCGCTTTGAATAATTAATTCTTTTTTTTCTGTTTCAAGTTCCCTTTTTTAACACCTTTTTTTCTTCATTCACGGTAAATTAAGTTTTTGTAACAAGTTATAAATAACAAAATAAAATATGCAAATTTTTATGTTTATTTTTTATTAAAAATACATATTAAAAAAAAAAGAATTCAACTTTCATCAGCGCGTTACAAATCAACTGACATGCCATCGTGCCATGAATATGTCTTTAGTTAAGTTTATGTCATGTCCAATATGTTTATGATGCGTCCCCCTCATCTTCAACCACTTTAGACTGACCATAACGTTTTATAAAATTCCAAACTAGTTTTTCTTATCTGTTTATAATTTATTTTTACACTAATTATTTGTTTAATAATATTAAGGGTTGTCTTTCCAAGATGATGTTGTGTGTTAGTATTCTAGATTAAATTGAGATTATTCAACTTCTTTCTTTTGGGAGAGGAGAGTCTTACAAATTTGAAAAACATCTCTTTATTTTATGACTGTTTAGGGGATTTCGGACAATTAACAAGTTTTATTGCGGGATATGACCGTTAAACATTTAAGTGGTTATTGTTATTTTATTCAAATTAATATTTAAGAATCTCAAGGAATGTATAATAATGTTGTTGTGGACCTTAACCGAACATAAAATTCGTCCAAAAATATTTAGTCACAATAATCCGAGAAAAGCGCCCATTCCATAATTTGTTTAGCAGTCCTCTCAAAATTCTCTCTGATGCTATAATTTTGTTCTCTTCTGTTTTTCTAACAAAACAATTTACGACTTTTTCTAATGCTCTGGCGTAGCTCTGTTTGTTTTAGTATCCATTTCTAGGGGAAGGGATGGTGTTTTGTAATAAAAATATAATTTTATATGTATTTATGTAAATTATTTACTGAAAATATGATTTACGATTTTCCGTTTTGTATTTTGTTACTTCTTTCTGCTTTTGTTGTAGGATTTGTTTCACATTTTTTTTCTTCTTTTGACGAGTGTTTTGTGTTTTATAGATTTTTCCCCTGCAGTTGTAAATAGAATTTATTTATTCAAATTTTTCTAGTTTAACACTTCTAGTGTTTTGTTATTTGCTTCATATAAAAATACATAAAAAAATATTTTAGACAAGTTAACACTTTGCAGTAACTCAGTCGGCGACTTTTACAGTAGTGGTGCTAGATAGAGGTGGAGAGGGGGTTAAAGACGTTTGTGTAGACAACAACATTTTGTTACAATGATTGCCAACTGTTTGTGTAACATTTTATTGTTTCGAATAGTCGCTCACCTGGCTCAACGTGTTAACATTAATTTTCTATGGTGGAATTAAATACGTTTAAATGTAACTACCAGGTACAGTGGTTAAGAAAATGAAGAAAACTTGGTGAAAATGTATAATGATTTTTCGAACTTATGTAGATCAATTTTACTGCATTCAACTTTTCGATTTATTTGTACGTATTTAAAACTACTCAACAACAAATCTAATATTTGTCATTTTCTAATCCCAAACTTTGTTGGCCTTTATCATAAAATTAAACTCATATACACACATATTAACATTACCCATTCATTGACAGTCATGTTCATTGTAGACAACTAGATTTTCCCACTTCACTGTATCAGTAGGTCTTTATACTTGGGGATGACTGGGTAGCTACAAACGAAATTGTACAGACAGGAAAATACAATTTTGTTACGAAAAGAAATACAGAGTAGCAAAAAGCCCAGAAAGAACTCACAACTATTAAAGCCAAGTGTGGATTTTATGTTGTTGTTTATGGGAAAATTAAGCAAATTACTCAAAGAAAATTATAACGCCAACAGACGAAAAAATGGTGTTGATTTGAGAAAACTAAATAATACAACGTCAAAAAATTAACAACAAAACGGAAGAAGATTATGTTAATTAAATATGAAACACAAATTAACATATTTTGTAAAAAAAAAAAAATATTAAGCAAAAGTGAAACAGTAAGAAATTCAGTTAGGCCTAAATTGGGACATTTAATACAAATGTCAAAAAGGTTTGTAAATTGTATGTACATATTTACTAACTCCTCGTTTTGGTAACCATGAAAATCGGAATTTTCTCGCTTTTAGCTACCAAAAAAACAAAAAAATGGTTTTTAGACTTCTCTATTAAACAGGGATTTTGTGTTATTTGCAGTCATTTACTTGTTATTTCTGAGAAATGTCCTGTCATGTGGTTTTGTTATCGAAACCAACATCAAATGTTGACAAATATTTACAGCTTCTGCTTGCAAACAGACGTGCTAAGCGTAGCAACATCAATTAACTTAAACAACCAAAATATTTCTCGCACTCTCTTTGACACTGGCTCTCCCCACCAGCGTTTAAAATCATTGTCCTTTTGTCCATTCAAAATACTGTAGTACAGGTCATTCTAGCAGACAATCAGTCAGTCAGTGCTACATGAAGAGTTGATTGTTGTTCCTCTCACTGACAGCGTAACAAAATCGTTGACCACGTGATATTTTATTTCAATGACCGCAAATATGGTTTGCAATGCCCAACCATAAAGACAAAGGACTACAATGCATATTTACTCTCACAGACACACAAACACACATGTAACAGGAAGAAAAAAAGGAAGAGATGTCATTGTTAACACAAGACAAATTTTTACCTATATCACTAGCCCACAAACACACTCAGAATTTAAAACTCTTGCACACAAAAGTATAAAGAAAGGTGGCAAAAACAAGACTAAAAAAACTATTTAACCACCAATACTTTATGTTAGACAAGTCCTTTACAATATTATGTTGTGTTTTTGTACTCCTGCTGCTTACTTTAACTAAATATTTAGTTTTAACATTTAATGTTGAAATCCTCCTGTTTAATCTGCCATTAAATGTAGTCTTCCTGCCTTCGTTTTTTATATATATTTTAATTAATTTAATGAAGTGCTGCCTAACATTCATTCCTGCACATAAAAATTCCTTTTCATTGCCTTTTTACTTTAGGCCATAAAAATATTCTTGTATTAAAATTAACATAATCAAACGCGGGGTTATTAAAGAGAGTAAACTCTTGTATTGTTGTATATTTAGTTGGCACCAACATTTTTTTAATATTAATTTTCTTCACAACTTAATTAATATTTATTAAGAATAATTCAATAAACTGACAGACAGACATACATAAGAAATGTAGAGGAATATTGGAGGGTGAATGAATATAAAAACAGCTGAATTTTTTTATGAAAAATAGTTATTTATCATTTGCAAGACAAAATTATAATATTTATGTATATAAAATTAAAAATTGAAATTAAATAGTTTAATTCTTATTTAATCATAAGGGTGGTATATTTTTGTATAATAAGAGAGATTTTTTAACAAACATTTTAATTAAGCGACAAATATGTTGTTAAATTGTTTAAACATGTCGTTGATTTCAATAACACACAGTGTAATTATATTTTTTTATAAAAACAAAAACTAAACTTTTTCTCTTTAAAGTCCGCTATTTAAGCTAACTTCATTTAATTGAAAAATTTTCTACCAACATTATTCAGTTTCTTAAAGTCATTTGTTTCACCTTGACACAAGATGCGTGTGTTGTTCCAAGAGCAACGAACAAAGAAATAAATAATATTCGTTTTAACATTTTTAACAAATGTACTACGTGTGAGTGTGATTATTTGGATGAATTTTAATTTGAACAAATACATGGCTAATAACTCAACATGATAACTCAACAACAAATAACTTTAGTCTTAATTTTTTTTCTTCTTCTTGTTGTAGTTGCAACATTTGGAGCACAAACCTAAAGCACGAGAATTACATTTTAGTTTTTGCATTGTATTTTTGTCCGTTTTTCATGAAAAAATGTTCATTTCATTTATTGGAACATTCATTCATACACATTTTTTTAATATTTTAGAATGAGTATATTTGCAAGTATATGTTACACTTGCAATCGTTTTGAAAAATGGTCTTCGGCACGAATTTGATTGCGTATACTGGCATAGCTACATAGCTCCTCTGTTAACTTTATTTTAACAAGAAATAACAAAGTTTATTTTTATTAGTAATTAATGGTGAAAAAAGCCTTGTTTAATGAAAAATAACAACAACTATAACAGCAAAAAAATTTAAAAAATAAACAGTGAATATTTAATTTGACATTAAATAATAAACTAAAGAAAATTTCTGCCCTATGCTGGCAATTTCAATATGATTTTCTTGAGGCAATAAATTTTCAAAGATACACTTCATTACACTACAAAAAACAAGTAAAAAATTTTAGTCGGGAGAGACCCACCATAATCATAATTCAGCATTTAAGTGGAATTGTGCTCATTTATTGTTGAATAAAATTATGAACATTTAAGTCATATTTTCTAGGGGGCTTTGTATAGGGGATAGGGTCAAATCAGGCGCTATAATTATAAAATCCATGAGGTTCATCAAGGCTAGTATAGAACTTGGTTTTGCAGCTTTTTGTCGAGATACGAGTTAATTATGCATTTAAAAGCCCTATTCGGCGGGTTCAGTTGTATGGGGGGACTAGGTGAAATAGTGGACCTTTGTCTGTGGTATAATAGAAGATAATGTGCCAAATTCCATTGAATTATCTTCAAAATTGCCTGTAGTTTGATTACAGGTTTACAAGGATGGACGTTCAGACGGACGGACAGAATCGACTCAGAAAGTGATTCCAAGCCGATTGGTATACTTTAAGGTAAGTATAGGACCAATATTATTGTGCGTTACAAACATCGGCACAAATCCAATATATTAGATTTATCTAGGTCCGTCCGTCCATGTAAACCTTGTAATCAATCTACAGGCAATTTTGGAGATAATTCAATACACAGCATTAAAATGTGTTAGATTTCCCAAATTCTTGTAAAATAAAATTAAATATTTCATAATAACAAAGTATGTATGTATATATATTTGGGATATTATATTAAAGCCCCGATTTGAATAACATTAAATTTTGGAACACCGTGTCTGTTTGTTTAGTTTAAAAGTAAGTATAACATTGATATCAGTTAAATATTTAGTACAATAGTGCTAATTGTGGCCTGGATACCACATTGATATTCAGACACAAACAGACACTACTACTCTTTCCTACTTCCAGGCCAAACAAACACTCATTCATGCGTCCTTCTAACCATTCCTTTTATCATTTATTCATGCACAACTCATTTATTGTGAGTTATAAACAGTGAAAACATTTTTATTTCAATTTGGTCGTTACGTTTGTATTGTTGCTGCTGTTGTTGTGTGTTATTGTTTGCTGCTTATGGTGATTGTTGTTGCTGTTGTTTGGTTACTTTTCGTTTTGTGGTGACAGGCCAACAACATTCATGTGTTAAAGCGTTGGAGTCATCATAAATTTTCAAGACAAAAATGACATGAAAAATATGAAATGGTTTTAATTACCAAACAACGTTTGGGAGGGAGGGAGTACAATGGGTACGTATGTATAGCAGCAGTGTATGTAGAAGTATTTATGTTTCTTTATGCAAGTGGAGAGAGAGTATGCAACACGCCTTTGTTTGCTTAAGGTTTTATCAACATGTTAAGGAATTCTTCTCCTTTTTTTATTCGTATTTTATTATTTAATTTTATACCTTGAAAGTTATTTTTGTTTTCTTTATGACAGAAGTATATATTGATTTCGTGTTAGTTTTATAAAATATGTTGGATTCTTTAATTTTAGGCAACAATTTAATGTTAGAGACATGTTGAATAACATTTTTGGGAACATGTTGAAACAACATTGATAGTTTGTGATTTCCCTGCAAAAATTATTGGAGTAGGTACATATTGCATTTAGTAATCCAAAAACTACTCGCCTGTAAACAAATTGGGTGTACATAATCAGTTTAGTAGTCCTATGTAATGCCGGCATGGATCATGTTTATTATTTTTGAAAACAACATGGTCCACAGCCTACATTACATAGGTCCATGTTGCGGATCATGTACCCTCTGGGACTAGTTTTGGGATTACTCTGATGTAATGATGGATTACGTTAGAATCCTTACCTAGGACATCACAATGTTAAATGGAGTGTGTTTTTTTCATATATTTGGATTAGTTTTGAACCATTCCTAGTAGTTTGAGGTGTACTCTTTACACGCGTTTACGGAGTAATCTCAATTTTTGTAGGGTTGTTTTAATTAAAAAATAAATAAAAAGTTTTCTATGCATAAAAAATAAAATTAAATTTGTTGTCTAAAATTGCCTAAATTGATTACACTATGCGAATGATACTATTTTTCAGAAAGGTGGATCGGAGTAGATCAAGAGTCTGTTTTATAAATTTTGTCAAACACCTCCAAAATCTTGAGATACGGGTAAAAAAAACGGTTTTTCGTACCTTTAATCACTTATAAGTCAGTAACTTAGTTGCATATCAACCGATTTTAAGTTTCTCAGCGGATTTAGAAAGAAGTTGAGGACTTTATGTTAACATACGTAAGGGTAAGTCACCTAGAGAAATATGTGTGCATTTCATCGGCAAACATATTTTTAATTTTAGTTTTGCAGCGTTTTCCAAGTTTGGAGATGTTTTTACAAAGTATTTTATATAGGAACCGTACTATTTATTAATGCATTAAAAAACTTTGTCTTTTCATGTGTAAAACCTTTCATTTTTAAAATCCATTAGCAATTGACGACGTTATTGATCTTTTTCTTAACATAAAATTGTTATAAAACCGAACTATTTTTGTTGGGAGTTAAGTTTTTGCTGGGACTTCGCAGGTATTTCAATTTTCGTTAATTGTGTCTCACTGTGTTATTGATTATTTAGTAATGTTGACCAAAACTGTTTATATATGCTAGTAATAAATTTCCAATTAAAATTATAAGCTTAATTACCTTCCGGTCTTCGTTATTATCATCTCTGTGCCCAGTTCATGAAATTTATCCCATAATTCTTTGGTCTCCAGATGACACTGTATCGGCAGTAAATCATCACAATTACATGAACCCACAATTTTCGGTGATGGCTGGAATAAGATATTCATTTAGTATATTTTAGTTTTTATCTCGAACTAGGAGATTTGCTAACTTTTCGTTTTACCTTCGCTGGCTCTGGGGATAAACGATCATCTTCAGTATTGCTGGGACTCTGTGGAGAAGCTCTCCCCCTGCTACTACTTGAACTATTGTTATTATGATTACTACTGCCACTATCGTTACTGTGATTAATTCTATGTTTGTATAGACTTTTTTGACCGTGATGGGGATGCTGCTGCTGCTGGGGGTTATGTCGAGACAAACGTATGGCGGAGGCTGATTCAGAATCACTACAATCGACTACATCGACATCGCCCTCGTCGTCGCCATCGGGAAATCGTTCGAGTGAGAGGGGACCTGTATTGGAGAATAAAATGTATTTTATTTTGTATATCACATACTGGACAATTTAAATCAAAGTGAGTGTAACTTTTAAATAAAGATACATTTTTCATTATTACAAAATAAAACATATCCATTTTATGGAAAATAATAATATATTTGATAAAAATTTTCTACTTGTAATAAATAAACAACAAGTTAATTGTGTTAATAAATTTACAAAAAATTTTTCATTGAGTTTTTTTTTCAAATTTTTAATTTCTTTGAAAAATTTGATTCTTCCAAACAAGTTGTTTTTTTTCAGTTATCGGACGGCAAAATTGGTTTTCGGTCTGACTCAGTGTTATAAAATATATTTAATAACTTCTAATAACCTTATTCATAAAACATATATAATTTTATTAATCGTTTATGATGGCAGGGAAATTGTATAATGTATCTGCAACATTTTAAAATTTAACTTCTTTTCAACATGTTTATAAATACAAATTGCAGTTTTAATTTTACCAATGCTAAAAAATTTTAAAAGAAATATATATTTAAAGAAAGTTAATTATTATTTTTATATTTTCATTAAAATAGCTATCATGTTTTCTTAATCCATTTATAATATGTACAACACAAAAGTGCACTGAATCCTAAAATATTTTTCCATTTAAAATCATATCAAAATTAATCGACTCTATTGTAGTTTTTCAAAAAAAAAATTTGAATTCATTTTTGAGTTTTTTTTTTTCGTTTTTTTGAAGTGTGAATATTTTATTTAATTGCTTCTAATGTTCTCCCCGTTTTTGCAATTTGCGATCATCGTGCAAAATACATATATATGTACATATGTATTTTTTGTATATTTCAGTTCAACATGAGTGATTTTTTGCATGTTTTGTATTTGTTTGATAAATTTTGTTTTATTACTTTGAAAATGTTTAAGAAGAAATTGTTCAAATAATAAACGAACAGATAGAGACGACCAGACAAACGGGTATGAATACAAATTTTAAACACCAAATCATTAGTTTAACGTTATTAACAACTAAGTTTTTTAATCTTTTGAAACACGAATTAACCAGTTGGAAAGTTAACTTGAAATGAAAGTTCTGTATGTCTGAAGACCTGAAGAATTTTCTGCACAGTAATTTGTGATTTAAGTTTCTATAATAAATTTGAAGACAGCATCATTATATTTGACATTACAAATAAAACTAAATCAGTGTCTATTACTGTCATGTCGTTTTATTATAAAAGCTAAAAAATTCCAACTGGGTTAGCAATAAACCCAAGTGATCATTATGAAAATGTAACTGTCAGTTTGTATATATTTTTTTCTTTTTGAGTTTTTCTTTCGATGAGATGTAGAAATTCGTGTTTAAATGATTTCGATCAAAAATTTGAACAGAAATGAAAAAAAAAACATTGGGAATTTCAATCACAAAATCATTAAAGCGGCAACAGAAATAACAACAATAACATTTATAAATGAAATACTAGAAGGAGGAGAAGATAGAAAATTAAATCAACATGCAACATGTTTGTTAAAATGATTTTAAAACTTTCAACATTTTAAAATTAATTGCGTTAATATGCAAATTATAATCTACAATAATAAATATTATTAACAACAATAGCAAGAGAAAATAAACAACATGTTTATTAATTTGAAAAAAAAAAATCATAAAGATCACACTTAGAACTTATTAAACCGGTTTAATTTTGATCACGTAATAAATTTTGCTCAGTTCAGCTTAAAGCCCTATTTCTTGTTTCTATTTTTTAGTTACTAAATCCTATTAATTTTGCTAATATTAAAAGGAAATATATGGATAATTTGTTTGTTTTTAATTTAAAACCATATTTAAAAAATATATCATATTGCAAATTTGCTTGTAGAGTTCAAAATCACTCTAACACCGAAAATAATAGCTCATATTTTGCAGTGCTCAGTTCAAGTCCATGTATTAAAAACTTTTTTAGTATTTGTATATTTAATATTATTATAATTAGCAAGTTATGAAATTTTAAATTGTTTAAAGTATAATACATCGATCGCAGAGATTTAGAAATGATTGATTTAGTACCGTCTAACGAGTCCCAAGTATACTTTTAAATTTTTTATTAGGGCCGCAATCAAAGCATGCAAGTGTAATGTAGTAGTAACCATGATGATGGTTTTGGGTGTAACAATTGTTAGTAAATGTGAAAAAATAATAAAATTATTTTATTATTAATTAAATCATAATACAATTAAAAAAATCACAGTTAATGCATTTCAAATATGTATTAATTGGTGTTATATTCTGTTTTTTCTACACCATTATTGTTTTATGTTTTTAATTTGTTAATGTTGTTTTTATGATTAACAAAAACGAAAGAAAAAAAGTAATAATAGCAGTAATAATTGTTATTAACTTCAATTTGCTGCATTTTATTTAATTTTTTAATATACATAAGTATTTATACACGTATAAATAATTTATAAATTATAAATTGTCTTAAATTATTCATGTAATTGTCATGTTTCAATATAACAATTTTTTTTTCAAACAACACTTTTGTTTATTTATAAATATTTATAATTTGTAAATTATATATTTGAGCTTTATATTTAAAAATATTTTTCTTTAAATTTTTTTATATTTATTAGAGATTGACAGAGGAAGTCAGACAAGCAGAAAATTAAAGATCTAACAACATGGATTAATTTGTTTTAATAATTTTATTTATATCTTCAGATATTTAATTATAGACTGATTCCATTTCGGAATTAACTGAAATATTTTTAATCGAACATAAATTTGGTTTAGTTTAAATTTAAAATGAAACAATTTTAATTAAATAAACTACTGAAAAAATATGTTCAAAGGATTCTATGCTAAAAATTATATTAGAGAATAGATTTTGTTTTATGTGCATTAGATTTGTTCAATATTTGCTGTTCGAAATTGTCACCTTCGTAACTGGTTCTGTGGAAGCGTTTGTTTATCTTTCGATAAAACAGTTTTGTTTAAATTTGTCGCCATCGAACCATGAACCAGATATTATAAGTCTGAAACTAGAAATTAAATGAAGCAAAACTGCGTTCACCGTTTTTTATTTCGAGACTGTTTTCTGTAAAAGGAATTAAAAATTTCAAAAGAGCACATTTAAAAAAATATGTATATAAATCTTCTGCTTAGCCTACTATGTCAAATTTGGTGTCAAATGACCAAGAAGAGTTGTAAGATATTTTGTGTTCTTTTTATTTTATTCTATCAAAAATGACTTTAATTTTTTTTTTTTTTTGAAAAAATAATATTGAAAACCTTAATAGATATTAAAGGATTAAAATTTTAAAAGGCATTTTTAACATCTTTTTATCCTGGAAGTATACGATAAAAATAATACAAAATATTTCCCAACTCTTCTTGTTCTCTCGACAGTAGAAATATTTTAAAATATTTTTTTGAAAAATGTACTTTTTATACCCTACACCACTTTAGTGTTTGTGCTGATGTTTGTAACGCACAATAATATTGGTCCTATATCCACCTTAAAGTATACCAATCGACTTAGAATCATTTCTGAATCGATTTAGCTATCCGTCCGTCCATGTTAACATTGTAATCAAACTACAGGTCGCATTTTTATACCCACTATCAAAAAAGATGGGGGGTACATTGATTTTGTCATTCCGTTTGTAACACATCGAAATATTGGTCATAGACCCACAAAAGTATATATATTCTGGGTCCTCATTAAATTCTAAGTCAATCTAGCCATGTCTGTCCGTCTGTCCGTCCGTCCGTCTGTCTGTCTGTTGAAAGCACGATAGAGTTCCAATGGAAAGAGCTAGAGGGTTGAAATTTCACATAAATATTTCTTACAGGTAAGGTTTGTTTGGTATTGAAAATGGGCAATATCGGTCCACATTTTCTGATAGCCCCCATACAAGTGGCCCCTCGAAAAGCAGCTTTAACAGCCATAACTTGTTTAAAAATACGAATATAGCGATAAAATTCGACATAAGTAAGTTTCTTATGATCCAAAATCATTATGCAAAATTTTATGAGGATCGGTCCATAATTGACCCTACCCCCCATATAAGGTCCCCTTCAGAAATTGACTTTAACGCTCATTACTGGCTTAAAAATACTAGTATATAGATGAAATTCGACATAAGTAAGTTTCATACGAGTCAAAATCTATCTAAAAAATTTTATGAGGATCGGTCCATGATTGACCCTACCCCCCATATAAGGTCCCCTTTAGAAAATTTAGCATTAATGGCTTAAAAATACGAGTGTAGCGATGAAATTCGACACAAATAAATTTAATACGAACCAAATTCTGTCTACCAAATTATATTAGGATCGACCCATAATTGACCCCTAAGAAAATTACTTTAACGCTTATAACTGGCCTAAAAAATACTAGTATATAGATGAAATTCGACATAAGTAAGTTTCATTCTAGTCAAACGAGGTTTGATGGTGGGTATATAAGATTCGGCATAGCCGAATATAACACTCTTACTTGTTGAAGATAAATTTATGAAATTTGGTACATGATCTTCTATTGTCTCAGTGACGAAGCCTACTGAAAATGGTTATGATCGGTCCATTATTTTACCTAGCCCGAGTACAACTGAACCCCCGAAAAGGGCTTGTAAACTTTGTATGTTTAATATACTCGTATCTCGCCTTCATGACCCTGATGAATTTTTTAATGATATGGCCTCTTCTTACTTGTTAAAACTTTAAAGTTGTTTTAAAATGACACAGGATCACGAAATGAAAAACTAAGAACGCAGTTTTTCTCTATTAGTTTCAGACGTCATCATCCAGTTTGTGTCTAATGAATTTTTTCTCTTTTTGTCGGACGGTATTATACTTAGATAGGCAGACAATTAGTATTGCCGCATGCAAAGCTACAAATAGTGTATTTACTACAAGACTGTCATAATCCTAAAAAGGTCGTTTCGAGAAAAATCGCTTTTAATGCAATGCTTAACGACATTTTACTATTTTTTACATAACTTTTAAACAAATTAAGGGATTTGGAAACATAAATCAGATTTAGATAGTAGACGATAATTTGTTTTTCAGCTAAATTGAAATTTAATTTTCACCATTAACTTAAAGTTTCAGTATTTGTGAAAACATAAGTTATAGTTTTTACGTTTACAACAAAAAATCGATCTCACACTAAAAGAAATATTTAAAATTTGATAAAACTATATGAAAGACTTTAGTATGACACTTCTTTTTTTGGATTATGACAGTCTTATAGTAAATTATATAACATGTATTTAATTGTTCAAACACTTTTTATAATTATACTACTTAATTAAAAAAATTAACATTATCCTTAGCTAAAGAAAAAAATATCTATCTTAGACCGTATAAATAGCAAACAAATGATTTTGTTACACCAAATAAAATAATAGAAACCTATTAGGTTTTTATTAAGAAACATTTAAAGTCCAACGAAGAGGTTCAAACAATAACAACACTGTAAGTAAATAAAATGTCAACTTTTATTTTGAGTCGTAGAATCTAGTAGTTTTGGAAGAGTTTTCGAAGTCTTTATTTAAAATATTCATAGTTTAACATTCTAAATGACTGACCTAATCTTTCAAAACGGAGTATAACACTAGATTCTACAACCCAAAATTCAGACTGAATTTCACATACTTACAGTGTAATATAACTGAACGAACTAATATTCCTAATGAAATCCTTTAGAATCATAAAATTCCTTTATGCTGAAACCAAATTATATACTATACATTGTACAATGTATATTTCCGTAAGTTTTATTTAACAAAGGAATATTATTTCAAAATAAAGTGTTTCCTAACTGTTTTCTACTTTGCTCAACAATTTTATTTTGTTTTAAAACTATACTTGAGAGAATGTAAAAAAATTCAAATGATCTTAATCGGTCATCATTTTTCTACACATTTCTCTACGCAACTTGGCTGATAATCTATTCACAGATAATGGCGAATAACCTTTTCAAAGCCTCTATAGACATAAATTCTTCTAAATACATGAAACGCAACTCCCACAACAAAAATATCCTTTTTTTGTTTTGTTTTTTTTTTTTTTCTTTTTCGCTTTAAGGACGACAAACATCATGTGTTTCTGTGTGTGTTTAGTAGTTTTGAATACATACATATTTTTATTTAAGAATAAATATGAAGAAAACTTTATGTGTGTATAAAAGAATGTAAATTGTGTAGATTGAATGTAAAAAGTTTTTGTAAACTGAAAGCATGAAACTAAGTAACACCTGTAACTCGTAGTAAGAGCTGAAATGTAGGGAATCTAAATTTTAGAATAGAAGTAGTTTTAATAGATTACAGACCAATCAGATTGTTTCGTGTGAATGGACCTTTTAAATTGGTATATATGTATGTATATGTATGTATGTATTTTCTAAGAATATTGTATTTTATACCAACATTTCACTTGATAAATTGCATGTACTAGAAAAATTTTAGGGAAATTTTAGTTGTTAAATCTAATGTCTTGGAGGTGAAGTTTACAGCTTTTAGATCAAATAAAAATTAGTTATTTAAATTTTAACATTCTTCGTTAATTTAAAGAATCTTACATCGGAACATAAAAACATTTAACTTAGTAAATAAACAAACGTATTTCATAAATATATCAAAAACTTTATATCGGTTCAAATAATTTCCTTTCGATTCTTCATCGTGGTATAGTTTAAACAATATAAGAGAATATTTCTTCTAGTCTTTTCAATCCTTTCGTTTACGATTTACACAATTTTTTTGTCTGTATATTTTAGTTTTGAACAAAAGATGTTATTTCTATAGTTATCCTTCTAATCCCTAAATCCGTTTAAAGAGGTACAAGTGTTTTTATGCTAAAATAGAGGGCGGTTGTGTGCGTGTGTTTCATTATACATATGTATGTAAATATGTATGTATGTGCCTCTAACTGTAATATGTATATATGTAAAGTGTAGTGTGTGTTTGTATTTTTTTTTTTTTTGATAACGTGTGAAGAACGATAAAGTACACATCACATTACTCACTCAAACTCCTTTCCGATGGTTCACGGCTAGAGGCATTTCCGCCTCTCGCCATTATCGCTGCTATTGAGAAATCCGTGGCGACGCCGATACAGGAACTTGTCTTATAAATTTTACTATTATTTTTGATTATTTTGGTTTTTGTTGTTGTTGATTTCGTTGTTAAATTTAAGCAGTTTTGTAAAGGAATTTTGGCTAAAATTTCAGCGGTTGTTGTATTTAATGGTTGTTGTAAATTATTGTTGACTTTATTACACAATTTAACTTTTTCTTGTTTCACGGTTTGATTTGTTGTTGTTATTGTTTCTGATGGTGGTGTTGTATTGTTAATTGCAGTTATATCCGGATTTTGTGTTAAATTACTAAAAAGCATTTTATGACGCCGTAAAGGGACTTTATTTTTTTTAAAGGATTGTAAGGGGATATTGTAGTACAAATTAAATTGTTGTTTGATTTTTAGTATTTTACAAACACATTTATTTTAATTTATAAAATTATTCATATTTATTTATTTTTAAAATATTATACATATCTCTTTATAAATTACGTAAACTTTTCTTTAGTTCGTTTCGTTTAATTTTGATTTGTTTTTATTTATATGATGGAGTATATTTGTTCCGTTATGAGGACAACCGATCCATTGTCGCGCTGACCATTGAATGAAGATGCTAAGCGACGGCAGTTATCGAAATGTCAGGTGGCGCCCATTGAACGCGTAAAGTTGCCAACTACCTTCTCATGCTCAAAATGCACAGTCAGCCAAGCCAGTCAGTCCGTCATTTAGTCAGTCAGCAAGCCAGAAAGCATATGTTTGTTGTTTGTCTGATGTAGTAGATCCCCAAATTACGATTCTACCGTTTTGTTTTATTATATACGAGTGTTTTTTAAGTTTCCTTGCATTTTCTTTGTTTTTGCAAAACTTTTGTCAGTTTTGTTGTTTCTTTCTTGGGGGAGGTAGTTGGCGTTCAAATACTCTTGAAAATCTGTTATGGAATGCGCAGAGGTGCATCTACGCATGCAAAAACAACAACAGCAGCGTCAGAGATGAGCTGAGCAAGATGTAACTGTAGTAGTGGTCAGCCAGCTGATCTGAGAGCTTTTTTTGTTATTGTTTTTGTTGTAAAATGTATGTAAGTCGACAATTGCCTACACGACATTCGCACTCATTGTGCTTACAAAAGAAATCCGTCTTTTCAACACTTCATCAACACAAACCAGTAGAAGACACACACACTCAAACACGGCAACTCATACATTTCCACACTCTGTTCCACGCACGAAGAGCTGGCGGAGTACTACACGACTGGGGCGACGACGTGATGTACGATATGTTAGTAAAAAGCGATAAAACCGCAACGGACGCCTCTAGCAGTAAAGAAAGTGTATTTTTTAATTTTTTTACAAAAAAAATCACAGATTTTTAAATAAATATTTTCGTAAATTTTTAAAAAAAATAATGTTTCTCTTGTCTAGTGATTTTTCGTTTAAGGCACTTTTTGTTCAAGTTACGGCTACAATCTTGAGGAATCCGTTTAAATGATTTTCATTTGCTGTAACGACAACACGTCCGCAACAAGCACAAGCATTTAAAACTGACTGTAGGAAAAAAGCATGAAACAATATAAAAACATGTTTCATCCATTCATGTGATGGCTATAGCGAAAGTTGTGTAGCACTTGCTGCTGCTCTGCCCCACTGTTTGGCCAACAAACAACAATTTTAGTTAACGTTCACATACACAAACACTCGCACCCAGCGAAGTAAACTTATTGCCAAAGTGACGTAAGGTGAGCAGAAGTGAGAGAGAGCAAAAGCAATAACATTATTTATTTAGAGAAAAAGTAAAAAAGAAAATATAACACAAAAGTAAAGGAGCACGAGGGAGCTTATCAAAGAAAATCCAAACGAAAACATCCATCAATAAACAAAAATAATTCATTCGTACATCAGACACTCTTACAGTGTAAACACATCAAAGTGAATTTCAATGATAAATTAAAACAGAAACACAAAAATTTCACACAAAGACATGTTGTTGTAGTTGTTTTTGGAGCTGCAAGATGCTTTCGGAGATCGCTGTAAGGTGGTGGCGTTGTTAGCGAATGATAAACGGTTTAAAACAAGCCATTCAATACAATGGCTAAACAATAACAAAACAAAATGAGTCTCATATTATGAGAACATTGATATTAAGAGGTAAACCACAAAAAGTAACAACAATAAGCAATAATCAAAATAAAAGAAAAAAATATTGTTGTCATATTCACACACTTCCAACTCAAACAAAGAAATACTCACTCAGTTGAGTTGAAAACAGAGAGTGTATAAATACCTCTTCTTGCCTTTACCAGATGAGCAGCTAAGAAAAACAAAGAGGAATATATTATGTAATGGTTTCTGTACCTCTCTTTCTAATGAGTTTTTCCAACCGATTGAGTTTTACTCGTTTACTGCAAAAAAATCCAATTTGAAATTTTAAAAATGTCGTCTTAGCAGCTACTCCTTTTTTCTTTTCATTATACTCTAGTCATCTCTTTCTATTACTGTGTTGTTTTTTTATATTATAGCAATGAATACTAAACGGATTTCATAAATTCGTCATTTTGTTTTTGTGCTGACAGTTGAGTATTTTATTATTGTGTGTTTGTGATTTTCTTTATTTGCTTTTTGTACTTAGTACAGCAAAAGCAAGGGGGTTTGGTATTACTCGTTTCAATTCATAAAGTTCCTGTGTTAAGTTTGAATAACTCACCACGTTCCTTTGAATCGGGTGAGGATATTTTTAGGGTGTTTAAAGGATACAATTTTATAGTGGAAATGAAAAACGTAACTCGAATGTTTTTTGTTTGTTGTTTTTGTATAAATTTAATAATGATCTGTTGAATTGTGTGATGATTTTTAATTATTTTTCACTGATTAATCCTACATAGTGAACAAAATTATGTACATATGTACGTACAGTGAAAAATAAGGTACGATTTTAAAGTAAGAAATAATAATTATGAAGACTTCATCGAATTCAATCATAGGCAAAACACCAGGAGTTTTGTTTCCTATGTATATTCACATCCGTATTGTAATAATCTTTAGAAATTGTTTCTAGTTTTTTACCCGTTTGCATGGAGCAATAATGTAATATTAGTAAGGTGGTTAGTTAGTTAGTTAGTTAGTTAGTAGTTAGTTAGTTAGTTAGTTAGTTAGTTAGTTAGTTAGTTAGTTAGTTAGTTAGTTAGTTAGTTAGTTAGTTAGTTAGTTAGTTAGTTAGTTAGTTAGTTAGTTAGTAGTAGTTAGTTAGTTAGTTAGTTAGTTAGTTAGTTAGTTAGTTAGTTAGTAGTTAGTTCGTTAGTAGTTAGTTAGTAGTTAGTTAGTTAGTTAGTTAGTTAGTTAGTTAGTTAGTTAGTTAGTTAGTTAGTTAGTTAGTTAGTTAGTTAGTTAGTTAGTTAGTTAGTTAGTTAGTTAGTTAGTTAGTTAGTTAGTTAGTTAGTTAGTTAGTTAGTTAGTTAGTTAGTTAGTTAGTTAGTTAGTAGTTAGTTAGTTAGTTAGTTAGTTAGTTAGTTAGTTAGTTAGTAGTTAGTTAGTTAGTTAGTTAGTTAGTTAGTTAGTTAGTTAGTTAGTTCGTTAGTTAGTTAGTTAGTTAGTTAGTTAGTTAGTTAGTTAGTTAGTTAGTTAGTTAGTTAGTTAGTTAGTTAGTTAGTTAGTTAGTTAGTTAGTTAGTTAGTTAGTTGTTAGTTAGTTAGTTAGTTAGTTAGTTAGTTAGTTAGTTAGTTAGTTAGTTAGTTAGTTAGTTAGTTAGTTAGTTAGTAGTTAGTAGTTAGTTAGTTAGTTAGTTAGTTAGTTAGTTAGTTAGTTAGTAGTTAGTTAGTTAGTAGTTAGTTAGTTAGTTAGTTAGTTAGTAGTTAGTTCGTTAGTTAGTTAGTTAGTTAGTTAGTAGTTAGTAGTTAGTTAGTTAGTTAGTAGTAGTTAGTTAGTTAGTTAGTTAGTTAGTTAGTAGTTAGTTAGTTAGTTAGTTAGTTAGTTAGTTAGTTAGTTAGTAGTTAGTTAGTTAGTTAGTTAGTTAGTTAGTTAGTTAGTTAGTTAGTTAGTAGTTAGTTAGTTAGTTAGTAGTTAGTTAGTTAGTTAGTTAGTTAGTTAGTTAGTTAGTTAGTTAGTTAGTTAGTTAGTTAGTTAGTTAGTTAGTTAGTTAGTAGTTAGTAGTTAGTTAGTAGTTAGTTAGTAGTTAGTTAGTAGTTAGTTAGTTAGTTAGTAGTTAGTTAGTTAGTTAGTTAGTTAGTTAGTTAGTTAGTTAGTTAGTTAGTTAGTTAGTTAGTTAGTATTAGCAATCCTAATGTGTAACCATTTTATGTAGATCCAGTTGTCTCAGTCTTAAAAAGTGGGTTTATTTCTTGGTATCAAAAAAAATTTACAAATCTGTCAAACATGACCTTTTATCCTTAAACAGACTTAATTCCAAACTGATTTTACCGGTAGGATGTAGCATTTTTCCAACATCCTTTTATATGTACTTTAAGGACTCTTTTTTTTTCAACATTTATTGTTTGATAAATTAAAATTTTGTTTTTAAACACGCGTTTATACATTAATGTCGTCCTTGTTTTTAGTCTTGATTTTATGTTATTTTCTTCATCAGCATCATGTCGTACGTGTGTCACAAACTGTCCCTTAGCTACTTTTGTTTTCATAATTTTATGTCTAATTTTTTCTAAAACAAAAACAAAAGATCATTAATGATCACTATCAACCTTGTGCTTATGACATTGGCCAAATTATTTACGCCCATTGTTTTGCTTTAACAATGCATCCAGCAAAAGGCAAGGACATACATTTGATGACATTTTTGAAAGGTGTAACAATAAGATGAGAAAGTGAAGGACACTGGTCACACGATCATGTAGAGAAAGAATGGAAATATTTTGATGAAGTATATGTTTATAATATTATATTTGCTTTGCTTTATTCTTAAATTATTCGAGGTCAAGGAAATAAGTCATTTGGCTTCGATAAATTATATAATTTTAATGTAAGTTAAGAAAAAAACTAAACATTCGAATTCAACATAGTCTTTAAAATTAAAGATAATAATTATTTGTAAAGTTTTATCCTGACAGGTTTTTCGTTAGTCCCAACTTTTACATTATATACTACCTAATTTGTTTTAACCTAGTTGACGTGTTGGTATATCGTCCTATTTTAAATAAAAAATATAAACCACTAGATCAAATGTAAATTAAGTAATAAATCTTTCAAGCAAAAAAATTGACTCGCAACTGTGGCCACTGAACAAATAGAAAAGTACACGACAGCTAAGAACTCATAAGAAAGAAAAGTCCTTCAATTGGAAAACGAGAACAAAATAATGTTGAATGTTTTAGATACATATAATTATGTATTACATATACAAATATACATATATGTACGTATTTAAATAAAAATGTATAGTTAAAAACCAAATAAAAACTATCATGCAACATTTAAAAACATTAAATTATAATGAAGAAAAAAGAAAAGAAACCGAAATGACATTTCAACCAAAACACAGCTGATGAAGTGACATCAGACCCCATCATATAATACTCGTATGAGTTCTTTATTTTTCGATTTTCTCTATATTTTATTTATTTTTTTCTTTTTGTTGGTTTATTTTCAACAAACATGGTTGAATATATTTCACAGCAATTCACTCACTTCCTTTTTTTAATTGGTTTCCTTTCACACGCCATTGTGACAACGTTCACTACCTTACCAATTTTTTGTTTCTTTTTTATATTTTGAAAAAGTTTTTTTTACGTATTCCTGTGATACAACAACAATAATTTAAATATATATATAAAGACTCGTACAGACACATATTTTGAATACAACTTACGACTATTGTAAACATTTGCATATAGTTTTTTTATTTTAATTTCGAATACAGTGCAGAATATTTGTTTAAAGGTGGTTATTAAATCAGCTTGTACTAATAATTTTCCACAGTTTAATTATGGAAAAGTAGCAACATAACAGACTATCGTCAATATCAACTATCTATCGTACATATTTTTTGATACACAATTCGAGTGCAATTCAATGAACTCATATATGTATATGATATTTCCAACTTGATTATTAGAACGAAGTTTTTCGTTAGACTTTCGATCAATAGACGCTTTACTGTATATTAAGAACATCGTGAGGTTCAAAAACCTATTGATATAGAGAAAGGCTTTGATAAATTCCGCAGTATCTATGAGATACAAATTTGTAGGATAGGAACTAAATAAATAAAATAATTTAAAGAGCTTGCACCTGAAAATACTAAAGGTTTCGGGAACTGTGAAGTAAATGGAAGGGTGCTTTACATTGCTAGATTAACTTCCCCCAGTGTCGCCATATCCATTTCATTCAGTTTAGGATTTAGACGGAATATTCATGAAATGTGTTTAAATTTTCTAAAATTTAATTATTTAGAGTCCGAAAGAACCCATGCCGAACATTAGTCTTAACCCAATTACAATTAACTTTATCTGGAAAAGAACATTAAGAGATACCCTAAATTATTTTGGAAATACTAGATG